TCAATCAATCAGATTCCAAACTCTCCACCATGGACAAGACCAAAGAGCTCTCCAAGGATGTCAGGGACAAGATTGTAGACCTACACAAGGCTGGAATGGGCTACAAGACCATCGCCATGCAGCTTGGTGAGAAGGTGACAACAGTTGGTGCGATTATTCGCAAATGGAAGAAACACAAAAGAACTGTCAATCTCCCTCGGCCTGGGGCTCCATGCAAGATCTCACCTCGTGGAGTTGCAATGATCATGAGAACGGTGAGCTGGCAGCTGGGACCATAGTCACCAAGAAAACAATTGGTAACACACTACGCCGTGAAGGACTGAAATCCTGCAGCCCCCGCAACGTCCCCCTGCTCAAGAAAGCACATATACATGCCCGTCTGAAGTTTGCCAATGAACATCTGAATGATTCAGAGGAGAACTGGGTGAAAGTGTTGTGGTCAGATGAGTCCAAAATCGAGCACTTTGGCATCAACTCAACTTGCCGTGTTTGGAGGAGGAGGAATGCTGCCTATGACCCCAAGAACACCATCCCCACCGTCAAACATGGAGGTGGAATCATTATGCTTTGGGGGTGTTTTTCTGCTAAGGGGACAGGACAACTTCACTGCATCAAAGGGACGATGGACGGGGCCATGTACCGTCAAATCTTGGGTGAGAACCTCCTTCCCTCAGCCAGGGCATTGAAAATGGGTCGTGGATGGGTATTCCAGCATGACAATGACCCAAAACACACGGCCAAGGCAACAAAGGAGTGGCTCAAGACGAAGCACATTAAGGTCCTGGAGTGGCCTAGCCAGTCTCCAGACCTTAATCCCATAGAAAATCTGTGGAGGGAGCTGAAGGTTCGAGTTGCCAAACGTCAGCCTCGAAACCTTAATGACTTGGAGAAGATCTGCAAAGAGGAGTGGGACAAAATCCCTCCTGAGATGTGTGCAAACCTGGTGGCCAACTACAAGAAACGTCTGACCTCTGTGATTGCCAACAAGGGTTTTGCCACCAAGTACTAAGTCATGTTTTGCAGAGGTGTCAAATACTTATTTCCCTCATTAAAATGCAAATCAATTAATAACATTTTTGACATGCGTTTTTCTGGATTTTTTTGTTGTTATTCTGTCTCTCACTGTTCAAATAAACCTACCATTAAAATGATAGACTGATCATGACTTTGTCAGTGGGCAAACGTACAAAATCAGCAGGGGATCAAATACTTTTTTCCCTGACTGTACATTGTATGCTCAATCTGTAGTGGAAACCTACGAGACAGCGGTGTCATCTTAAAGTATGGCAGATTTTCCTTTTTTTCTTAGTGCCTCCGTCTTCCTACATAATTCAAAAATTTTCACAAATCATTTATGACATACTTGCTGGTTTCTCCGTTTTTGTGGATCTCCTTATTTCATTGTGACTTTTCCAAAACATTGTGCCACCCCAGCAGTCTAGACACACACCGCACTATATTTTGTCAGCATCTGACAAGCCTCTCGGGGGACTCCTCAAAGTGGAAACTCCTCTCTACTCAAATGTAGCATCTTTTAGCAACAGCCTTGAAGAATTTGCCCACACTTTACAGATTGTTTTATCTATCTAGCATTCATAACCTTACTCATGGTCAAAATCATTAGAAATTGTTCAGCGTATATACAATAAAATACTTGGAGCTTATTGTTAATCTTTTTTCTTTCTGTAGGTAAAACACACTTTTGGGATCTGTGTTTGTCGTTTTGTTTGTTGAACCTAAACATGATAATGCAATTAGTCAGTTGCATGGGTGTGGTGGCTGTCAGGCCTGTCTTATTCATATTATTAAAGCTTAATGGTGAAACTGCCACGTCTGTTTGTGATATTTCAACAACAAAGAAGTTACTGTAAACAACAAACACTGTTTGTTTTCTCTCTGACATCATTGCACACGTGATAGAACAGCAAAATATGTGCTGCTATTCTTTTCACCACGTTGGGCGCCGCTCCTCACCTCCGCTTCACCAACAGTTGGGACTCAGTCGGGATCTCAACTTACTGTTCAGAGTTAGAATAGTAGACTAACCAAGGTGCAATTTTGAAATATGGTTGTGCATCATCAGTTTTTCTCTTGTTATGTCAGTCACTGACAGTCACTCAATTAGCCCATGTCAGCTACATTTTTTTAGAGTGGCAAGTTACTCTATCTGGTCGGATTACCGACCGGGCGCCCCTCCCATTGATTTTATTAGTCACTCTCACTCAGATATCATATTAAAAACTGCAAACATTTCTCTCCGCCCTATGGCAAAATGTGTACATTTGCGGCATTCTTGCTTTAAAACCGCAACATTTTCTCTATGCCCCTGGCAAAATCTGTAGAATTGCAGGAAATGAACTCTCTCCGCTAAAATGTTTTGCTCGCAAGGTGGGGTGTCGGTACGCAGAGCCGTGCGCCACTGCGGCCCCCCATTATGAGTTCAGATTTGTTGTGGCCCGCACCCCATCAAAGTTGCCCATCCCTGGTTTATATTATGGCAGAATTATTGATGCTTTAAGAAAGTAAATATTGATTTAGGCCCCCATCTGAATGTATAAGTCTGACATCTAAATTTTAAGTTTAATTTTAAGTCAAAAGCCCTCTGTTACATTATGCAAATGCATTATCCTCTACCTACAATAACCAATTACCTTTTCTGATAATATTTTTCAGTCATGTTTCCTAATCTTGTTTAACACTGAATGATCATTACATGTTCTTGCTCTGACATTATTTACCCATACTGTAGTCACCATGTAACATATGAGTAGTAAACTTAAGGCACTGCGGAGCATAAATTGAAATAATTAGCATTTTTATTTGACTGGACTGATGGTACCTGCATCTGATGGACATGGTGCTTTCAAGACAACTGTGAACCCCTCCCCCAAAAAAATGTGGGGGGTAAAATCATGATGTCAGTGATATTCAGGTCGGAAAGTCAGAGCTCTAGAAAGATGCCTGAGTTTCCGACTTGGAATTCCGACTTGGATGACCGATTTTTCCCGGTCTGATCAATTTTTTTTGGAAGTCGGAGATTTCCGAATTCCCAGTTGTTTTGAACACGGCATTAGTCTCAGTGCAGGGAGGAGAGAGCAGCAGAGGGTCCGCCTCACAGTCCCTGCTCTCTTCTTCCTTTCCTCCAGAGAGACTGACCAGAGAGAGGGGACACCGTCTTCCACCTGATGGCCAAACTCCAGTCGCACCGCAACTGCCTCATGCACAAATTCATGTTGTTCCTATGATCTGAGAAAGTGAAATATTCCTTGATATTAAAATAGACACGATGAGCTGCTAATAATAATAAAAATGCAGGGCTATCGATACACTTGGCTACTCATTCATTGCAGCTGCAGTGCAAGTGGAAGTACGGAGAAGCGCATTTTATTTTTTGTAATAGTGTTGGATGAAAACAGTGTTGACGGTGCTGAATAAAAACTTTAACATGAACATGAAAAAGGCAGCTCTTTGCTGTATTCTTGGAAGCTCTGTAGGCACAGTGATTTGAGCTATCCAATTGGCCAGCGCAGTAGGGGCCCTCGATTCAGACAAATTAAATGGTTCAAAATGGGAGTACATTGCTTACCCGGTGCGTAGGACTTCTGAATCAAGTGCACCTACTGCCAACAGTGCAGCACGAATATAAAACTAAGAGTGCAAGTCTTTATCGTTGGCTTTTCTACAGAAATGTTGGACCGCTGTTAGACCACTGGTCTATACACTCAGGACCCTTTTGAATAGGCTGATTGGCCTGCTCTGATTCAGGCTGTAGCCTATACCTGCTCCTAACTGTGATCAAGCTGATAAATTACCAGACAGTTAGAAAGGGTAAGGGAGGTATCCTCCATGACTGTTTTGTTTAATTTCCAGCCACCTAACAAGTGAATGGGTTTGATTAGGCTCAGCAGGGAAAAGGTATGAACATGCCTGTCAATTAGAAGGCCTGGAAAACTCATTGATTAGAATGTCAGAACATTCAGAAATAATAATTTCTTCAAAGGAGAACTCAGCAACAGAAAGCTAGCGTTGAAAGCAATGCATTGATAAGCACTCCAGCTGAGATCAAACTGTCACAAATCATGATGTGTCTTACACTGGCTCTGGTTCTCTGGTTTCGCTGTAGGGTACTGCAATATGTTTAACAGGATCACATCTGATTTGACATACCTTTTAAATCAGATGATGATGATGATGATGTGGATGATGATGATGATGATGAAACAACGTTCAAAATCCTGGTGGGAACAGTGAGCTTGGATTGTGAGCAGTGAGCTTGGATTAACACAAAGCAGTGAGCTTGGATTAACACAAAGCATTACAAAAGATACAGAACAAAGAATGTGCAGTATTTCAGTTGTCTCAGTCATGTGTACAAATTAATAACAAATTCAAGTTTTGTAGTCCTCTGTGAATCCTTTTGGCCTGAGGAGCCCAAGTCTCTGAGCACAGAAAGTAATTGACACTGCAGACAAATAGCAAAATAAAGTGTCTTTCTCAAAGGTCACTCTTCAGAACGTGTGTTTGGTTCTTTTTGAAAGAATCATACCACAAAGATGACTAGAGAGATTACCCACTTGACAGTTACCAGCCAACAGGACGCTCGTTATCCTGAGAATCATAGAAGATCTGAGATCCTGGCTTGCTCTGTGATCCTACAAATGTACTGTATACTGTATGTCGTGCTGTTATTTTTACCATTGTGGTAATTAGTTATTTTAAAGCTTACTTAACGTACAATTTATCAAGTATTTTTGGTCACGTTACAGTCCAACTGTGTGCTACAAAAACAAAACCCAACTAACTAGGCTGTCAGGTCCGTCATTCTTAACATATTTATTTACAAATTGTATGGTTATTGTTGGAGTTGGTTTTCACTGTGAAATTAAACATTAATCTAATCTTGAAGCCTTGTATTAACTACAAAGTCTCCTCAGATTTTGTCAAAATGAAATGTTTGTTTACAGAAGAAACCCTGCCACACAAACAATATTCATTTTGAAATGTGTCCAGGTAATTACAGCACCTCGTAACTCCTCACACTTGGACCATCATTAATTTTCACCCAAGTGTGTAGCTCTGTGGTGATTGAACCACAACACCACACACCTGCTACACCATCAAATCAACTTCAGTCAGACAAACCTGGACAAATCTGGTATTTTCTGTATTCTCCCATGATATTATTTTAATAAGAAGGAGAGTCAACGTGACCCTGTAACCCCTGTGTAGTTTTAGTTTGATTTGATCTCACACATTTTTTATCCTTTTTCCACAGATCTGACGTTCTCTTGGATTTTTAATGAGTACCCCTCATTTGTGAAGCAGGACACACGTCGCTTTATCTCCCAGGAGACTGGGAATCTATACATCGCTAAAGTGGAGCCTTCTGATGTGGGCAACTACACCTGTGTGGTGACCAACACTGTCACCAAGACCAGGGTCCAAGGCCCGCCCACTCCTCTGGTGCTGCGCAGTGATGGTGAGATCCAGTTCTACAACAACTACTGCCACCCTATCAAACAGTATTTATCCTATTTTATGTGTTCCTTTTCTGGCCCTTGTGCTGTTTAATGTGATCAATATCATCACATTTGAATATGAGATAAACAAATTGTAATTGAATTGATTAACTGGTATTTGTTCATTGGTTTCAAACTTAGGCCTGAACAGATGGAATGAAAGCTCTGAACAAACATGTGAACAAACTTGTTGTAGGAAACAGAAAAATAGGACAGTGATTTTAAAGGTCCAATGCAGCCGTTTTTATCTCAATATCAAATAATTTCTGGATAATGAAGTATATTTTCTGTGATTGTTTTCAATTAAAATGGTCAAAAACAAACAAAAATAGCTTTGTAGCAAAGAACAATTTCTCAAGCAACTATTTTGCTAGGACTGTCAAGGAGTGATCTGAGTGGGGAGAGGAAAACTGTAAATTAGCTGTTATTGGCAGAGTTTGGGACTCTCTTTTTTATTGGTCTATTAACTAATTTACCACACAGTGATGTCACCATGGAAGCCCAAAACTCCATCCCACCAAAACAAGCTGAAGTTTCAGGTGCTCTTTTCAAACAGCACTTACACTAAAAGGGCGTTATCACCATTTTCACAATTTCACATTTCACAATGTCAAAGTGTGGAAATATATACACTCATCTAGTACCGGGTCAGACCCCCCTTTGCCTCCAGAACAGCCTGAATTCTTGCTCAATTTGTATCAAGGGACCTAACGTGTGCCAGAAAAACATTCCCCACACCATTACACCACCGCCACCAGCCTGTACCGTTGACACCAGGCAGGATGGGGCCATGGACTCATGCTCTTTACGCCAAATCCTGCCATCAATTGTCCAGTGTTGGCGATCGCGTGCCCACTGGAGCCGCTTCTTCTTGTTTTTAGCTGATAGGAGTGGAACCCGGTGTGGTCGATTGCTGAAATAGCCCATCCGTGACAAGGACCGATGAGTTGTGTGTTCCGAGAAACCTTTCTGCAAACCACTGTTATACTGCGCTGTTATTTGCCTGTTTGTGGCCTACCTGTTAGCTTGCACGTTCTAGCCATTCTCCTTCAACCTCTCATCAACGAGCTGTTTTCGCCCACATAACTGCCGCTGACTGGATGTTTTTGTTTGTCGCACCATACCCGGTAAACCCTAGACACTGTCATGCGTGAAAAGCCCAGGAGGCCGGCCGTTTCTGAGATACTAGAACCGCCGCGCCTGGCACCGACGACCATACCACTCTCAAAGTCGCTTAGGTCACTCGTTTTGGCCATTCTAATGTTCAATCGAATAGTAGCTGAATGCCTCGATGCCTGTCAACCTGCTTTATATAGCAAGCCATGGCCACATGACTCACTGTCTGTAGGAGCGAACCATTTTTGTGAACGGTGTGGTGTACCGAATAAACTGTCCACTGAGTGTATAAAACACAGGTAAATCACGTTTTTGACTGCACTGGGCCTTTAAGGAATACAAATTAATTCCAAAGGTTAATTAGCTGTTTCTTTGCAACTTTAAGATAGCCCACTAGCCAATGGTGGTGGTGCTTCAGGCTGGCCTTATCAAAGGCTCTCCAATGGAAAGGTCATTTGTCTGAGAGTGATCTAATTGTTGGCTTTCCAGGAATAATTAGTTCTCTAACTAATGTTTAACACTATGCAGGGATACAATTCTGATATGTAGGATCTATTCATGGTAAAGTATTGAAGTTTTTCATACTCTTGACATTTCATCTGCTGATTGTGAACCATATCTACAGTAAACTACAGTACAGTATGATAGCATGAAAACTACTATTACTACGTAATTCATCCCTCTTAGATATGAACATGAGTAAACGAAGCCTCCCTATTGAATATGGTCTTTAAGACAACTGTAATTGATTGAATCAGGGGAAATGTTTACTGTGTGTGTAGTCAGCCTACGTATCATCAAATATTGCCATGGGTAGGATAGCAGAATTACTGTACATTACACTAACTGTATCTAAGCAATCAGGTGGGAATTGTTTAGATAAAACACTCTGCAGAAGCAGTAGGAGCATTTGAGGGTTATGTTTCCGCGACAGTGGATCTCTGCTAGTCTGGAATCACTACTTCTAGTGCATGCTATTTTGTTGGATGCTGCATGAGAAGGTATGATTATTTGTATTTAATTTCTAACTTATTGTTTTTACCAATGCACCAAACCTACTGGTGTGACAATGAGATGCCAATAATGAACCCTCCAGTCACACAGGTCACATTAGCATGTGTCCCCTCCTAAATGTTATGGTATGAGAAGTGGTTAAACACGATGGTGTTCTCCGTTTTGCTCTACGACCTCCACAAGTGTCACGAGACATAATTCCTTTTCATTAATTTTTTGACTGTCTGCTTTTCCATGCATGAATCTGTTACTCAAGGTGTTTCTATGGGCTAATAGCAGTATGGCCAAATTCAATGATTTTATTTTATTTATATTTTCTATACGTGATGATGCTCATAGGCACCTGAGTAATGGAGCAAAACGGAGCATCTGCATCCCCACTTTCAAAATAGGGTGCAATTTTCAATGATTAGTCATGTTTGAGCTAGTCTATATTAAAATAAATATGTACATTTTCTATATTATATAATAATTAACTGATTTAATGAATAATATTCCTCGAGATGAATATAATTTTCTCGCATAGAGTACGACAGGCTGACAATTGAATAGCTAAACTATTCTACTATGGGGTTGTCTGATTCTGCTGTTGCTTACTCGTGTTGTTGGCTGTGGAAAATATTTGCATAACCAAAGGTACCGGATCTCAGCTCCGCCTGGCTCTCATTTGGATCAAAGGTGGCGGGTCTCGGACCCAGCCCAATTGAATCCCTGGGTATAAGACCATTAGAGCCTCGACCAGCTGTCTCATTTACCATGGCTGATAGGCCCTTGGCTACCTGGCTGTATTAGAAAATAGAGATACGGATCAGAATGAGCTTTCACAGTCAGTCAGGGAACCATCCAGATAACACTTGCCTCACAAAATCAAGAGCTCATTTGGGCTGAAAAACCTTTGGAAATGTCATAGAGGATTGCAGATAAAGAATACCAGCAGCAATGAGAAAACCTGTTAGTGGTGTTCCAAAAGAACCACTTCTCAGATGTATGATTGTAATCGCTTATAGAACATATATAGGAAACAACATATCAGCAGTTTCCATGTTGTTGTAGTTTTTTTTGCTTTCTTGTAATTGGTTGTGAATTTCTTTCCTCAGGTATAATGGGTGAATACGAGCCAAAGATTGAAGTTCAGTTTCCAGAGATTGTCCATGTAGCCAAAGGATCGACAGTGAAACTGGAGTGTTTTGCATTAGGAAAGTAAGTATGCTCTGGGCTTGATTAAACAGGCACACAAATACATGAAAAGCAGAAGGTTATTAACAAACAGCGTGATATTTTTCATGTTTCACTGCATGCCTCCAACCATCCTCTGATTGAGGCCGGGCTGCGCATCTGAGAATTCTGGTAGAGTTGGGGCCGTGTGAGACTCCTCCTGGTTCACTAGCTGAATTATGTATTCAATACATTTCTCTTTTCTGTCTAATCCACTGAATCCATATAGGTTAAGTACAGTGGCGATGTTACAATTATTTGTGTTTGTAAAATGAACATGCTACAAGGATTCTCTACCTTTCTGCATTACTCTTTTTCCAGCCCTGTCCCCTCCATAAACTGGAGGAGAATGGACGGAATCCCCTTTTCTAGGAAGGTGGACGTGAGGAAAGCCAGTGGCGTTCTGGAAATCCCCTATTTCCAGCAGGAAGACGCGGGCACATACGAGTGTGTGGCAGAGAACTCCAGAGGGAGGAACACTGTAAAAGGAAAACTCTCTTTCTACGGTAGGTGATCCTGAACCACATTAATATTTGAACCAGCGAAGGCTACATGTGTCAGTTTCGCTTCGACTGAGAGGCATCAAAGGGACAACTAACTGGGTTTAAAACACAGCCATTGGTAATCAACTGTGGCTCCGCCACTTTGCATGGGAGGAGCATCGTTTTAACAGCGCATCCCAAATGTTTAAAGCCCCAGCGGCCAATATGCCTTTAATATTTTGATCCAGATTAAAGCAGTGATGATGTGAATGAGGAGGAGACCTTGGACGTGACCTTGTATTGGGTTCCACCAGATGGCATCATGATTGACATCCAACTTGACTGGAGATCAAAGCTCTTAAATATACTACTGTATATTTAGACCAGGGCCACATATTCCACAGGAATAACCTGCAGTGCAGCGTCTGGATGAAGAGGAAGAGGAGTGGTAGTCTAGTGGTTAGAGTGTTGGGCCAGTAACTTAAAGGTTGCTGGTTTGAATTCCTGAGCTGACAAGGTGAACAACATCTGATGTGCGCTTGAGCAAAGCACTTAACCGTTTGCTAAATGGCAAATGTAATGTAGTAGTTGGGACATTGGTTATTAGTTGTATTCATGTCTGTTTAATTCAGATCTACTTTAAGCCCTTCGGCTGAATATGTGTGTTTTGGATTTGCTGTCATTGTCATCTATGCATGTATTATTTGTGGACTTTCCTCATAATTATTGATGTAAAGTCATCAAAACATCACTGTCTATTCAGGACGTTTCAAGTAAAGAAGAAATATTAAGTAGTTCCCCTCAACACTGCTACAAGCATGCTTTTCCTTTCCCTATTAATGCCAATAGTAGTCATTATTAACTCCAGCATATGTTTAATCCGTATTCTAACATTATTTTTACAGAGCAGCGGTGTTTGTATCTAGAGAAAGACCACAGGCTCTATCAGTGGTACTATGGACAGTCAAATGAAGGGTCGTGACCTTCCGTTGTTCTCTAGTAGTCATATGATAGTATTGTTCATACAAGACATCCTCCTATTAAGTAAGTACCTGTAGGCTAGCCGTACCACTGAGATGTATCTCTCCCTTCTGGAGTCTTTCTCTGCTGCATGCCTAAGGACCCATTTACAAGAATAGCTTGTCGGGGTCCCTGAGTGTTTTATTACACTTGTTGTTTAATTTTTTATATTCCACACAATGTGGATCACTAACAGATGCTGGAAAAGACTTGAAAGAAACATGGCTGGCTGGACTAATGACATGGAAGTATGTTTGCTATGGTAGTTGCAACGATATACAGTATAGCGGTATGTATAATAAAATGAGGTAAAAAAAAAACTGCACAGCAGATGATAACCAACAGTCATACTTCCATACAGACCATCTATTTTAGTGTGGGTAAATATTTATGTTATCTTTTCCAAATTCAACTGAAGCTCTCTCCTTCAATTGGTTTCACATCCCCCTGCCCTGCCTCCTGTGGTGCATAAGTCAGGCTCGGTCAGTTATCAGGAATAACTCATTCTCTGCATTAAACAATTTGTCATTATTTACAAGGTGCCTGCCTCATAGCTCCCTGCACCTCTCAGTAATGGAACCCAGCAGCAGCGTTGCTGTGGCTGTGAGCTATGGGGGATGATTTGTCCGTATTCGCAGCAGGTCTGCCCTCTTTTGATGTGCTTTCTCACTTACTCTCTCTCTCGTCTCTCTCTCGTCTCTCTCTCGTCTCTCTCTCTCTCTCTCTCTCTCTCTCTCTCTCTCTCTCTCTCTCTCTCTCTCTCTCTCTCTCTCTCTCTCTCTCTCTCTCTCTCTCCAGGTGATAAAAATCTATCTGTAATCTTATTTTGAAGTCCCTTGGAATTAAGCCTTTGAGACATTTGTCAGCAGTGTGTGAGAATCAGGGAATCTCGTGTACATTGTTACAACCTGCAGTCACAAAGCGGTGAAAGCCTCAGCTTTCTGCCTAGGAAAGAGCTGAAGGCATTATTTGACTCTGAGTTTCTACTGATCACTGTGTCATTAGTAGTTAGATGTTAATGCTTTAATTAGGTTCTGCACGTCTTGTGTTTTCACAAGGTGAATGGTAATTATCTTTTCATGTCAGTCAAAGCTACATTCAAATGAATATCTGTTGTTTTAGTCTTGATTGGAGAGAGCATTTTGGGATAAAATGGGGAAATGTTGCACATTATTCTATTTTAACCTCATCCAAAAGGTAGCCTACATACTAATTAAATACAACTAATTATGCATATGGACTGCCATTGGTTTCTCTATTTTAATCAACAATTTAACTCTGCAGTATATTTAATACTTTCCTAAGTAAGCAGTATCCCAAGATAATGCCATGAATATCAAAACCCCATGCCAGTTTCACTTTGATTCCCCTATCGCCTATCTCCCTCTTTGCTTTAGCTGGTTGATTTGAAATGTTTGGGCTGATTGTGTGCACACTGGGCCTGATGCAGCTAGGAATGGGCTGCCCTCTTTCATTTGGTGGTCTGTGACTGAGCGTCGATACGTTCACAGTGGCTGAGGGATGGAGTGACAGTGGGCTAAAAAACAACAACAACAATGGGGTCCTGGGAGGTGGAGAGGGTGGAGCATGGCCACTAGGCTTCTCTCTAAGATTGCACTGGCATGGATGTGATGCTAAATGACTGGTGATAATGGAGTCTCAGAGTACCTCTCTCTCTCTCTCTCTCTCTCTCTCTCTCTCTCTCTCTCTCTCTCTCTCTCTCTCTCTCTCTCTCTCTCTCTCTCTCTCTCTCTCTCTGCTATCTTGTCTAGGGGCACCTCTGTCCAAAACACACACTGGCTAACCTCTTAATACCCAGACACACACACAGACCCACAGACCACACAAACACACAAGCTCTCTCTTTTTCTGTTTTCCCTATGTCTCTCTCTCTCTCTCTCTCTCTCTCTCTCTCTCTCTCTCTCTCTTTCAGTCACTCTCTTCTCTCTCTCTCGCTCTCTCTCTCTTCTCTCTCAGACACATGCATCACATCAAATACACACAGGAGGGATAAGGATACATTTGCAATTACTATTGGATTTCTCACTGTTTCATCTCGAATTTCTTGGAAGCAAGCTAAGCTGAAGCAGGAACCCAATTAGAGTTGGATTTGTATGTACTATTACAGAGAAGTCACCTCAAAGGTCAGTCGGGGAGTATGGCATTAGTCAGGTGCTGCATAATGGAAATGTATAGTGTGCCATTACTCTTGTCGTAACAATGACCTGGTGTGATAGAGGATGATGGCGGACTGACCTACACATCATCCACAACATGGATAGTTACGAGGATAGTAAATCTGGAGGTTTATGTTCCTCATTTCCCCCCTTGCTAATTCGTTAACCAGTCATGAGTTACTTGGAAGCTACTGTAGGAATCAATAAAGCTCCTGTATAATTCCAACATAATTTACTTGAATGGTTTTGGGAGAGGTATTTCATGGCAATGTACTATACCACCCATGTATACACTAATACATCTGGATTGTTTTGTTCACTGTCTCAGCAGCACACATAATGAACCTAACAATAGGATAGTCATGTATCATTTATGCCATCTACTGTATTTTTTGTTTCTACTTATGTCCAAGCACAAGGTCAATTTGCAACAATAGGTAACTCATTTTAATTTCAGTGCCGGATCAACTGTCTGTGATTTCATGAGGAGAAATAATAATAAATAATATGCCATTTAGCAGACGCTTTTATCCAAAGCGACTTACAGTCAGGCGTGCATAAATTTTTTGTGTATGGGTGGTCCCGGGGATCAAACCCACTACCCTGGCATTACAAGCGCTGTGCTCTACCAGTTGAGCTACAGAGAACCAGTATAGGAGTATAGGCTAGCTGCGAGAAATGTGATCTGTATGACAATGTTCTAATTCATGGCCATGTTGTTTTGACCATGCAGCCCCTCCACATCTGATAGAGAAACCCCAGGATGTACAGAAGCCCATTGACGACTCTCTGGTGTGGGAATGCAAGGCCACTGGAAAGCCCAAGCCCTCATATAGGTGGATGAAGAACGGAGAGAACCTGGAGTCACTGGAGGTTAGTTCTACATAGGGTTGCAAAGCTACTGGTAATTTACCAAAGTTACTGTAATCTTTGGTAATTAAAAGTTAATCTATGGCAATCTATGGTAACATTTTGTTCATTTATACTCGAATAACATTTGATATATATTCAGTACCAGTCCAAAGTTTGGACACACCTACTCATTCAAGGGTTTTTCTTAATTTTTACTATTTTCTACATTGTAGAATAATAGTGAAGACAAATAACAGATATGGAATCATGTAGTAACCAAAAAAGTGTTAAACAAATTAAAATATATTTTATGTTTGAGATTCTTCAAAGTAGCCGCCTGTTACAGGAAAGGGACGCAGTTCCGGAGCGACCCATTAGGTGTCATCCTCCGACAACCTTAAGCACCTCCTCACTCACAGTCGGGACTAATCATCATCCTATTGGTTTCACCTGTGTCTATCGGTTCACCTGTGTATTTATGCCCTCACTTCCCTATGTTCCCTTATTCAATTCTCTCTGCTAGTTTCTCTATGTCCAGCAGTACTACTCAGTGTCTGATCGGAGATCTATGTACAGGTACTTGAGAAGTGTTCTCCCTGTTTCGTTATTTGTTTCAGTCTTAGGTAATATTTCTTTATTTTATCGTGATAAATCCGTTATTTTGTATTTTGGCTTTGGGACCACCAGTAAAGATCCTTGTTTCACAATCTCTGCCTACTGCCTACTGTATATCCTGCACCGCACCTGGGTCACACCTCACGCCTACCCTTACAGCCACCCTTTGCCTTGATGACAGCTTTGCACACTCTCAACCAGCTTCATGAGGTAGTCACCTGGAATGCATTTCAATTAACAGGTGTGCCTTGTTAAAATTAATTTGTGGAATTTCTTTCCTTCTTAATGCGTTTCAGCCAATCAGTTGTGTTGTTACAAGGTAGGGGTGGTATACAGAAGATAGCCCTATTTGGTAAAAGACCAAGTCCATATTATGGCATGAACAGCTCAAATAAGCATCATTACTTTAGACATGAAGGTCAGTCAATCCGGAAAATGTCAAGATCTTTGAAAGTTTCTTCAAGTGCAGTGGTAAAAACCATCAAGCGTTATGATGAACCTGTCTCTCATGAGGACCGCCACAGGAAAGGAAGACCCAGAGTTACCTCTGCTGCACCTCAGATTGCAGCCCAAATAAATGCTTCACAGAGTTCAAGTAACAGACACATCTCAACATAAACTGTTCAGAGGAGACTGTGTGAATCAGGCCTTCATGGTCGAATTGCTGCAAAGAAACCACTACTAAAGGACACCAATAAGAAGAAGAGACTTGCTTAGGCCAAGAAACACGAACAATGGACATTAGACCGTTGGAAATCTGTCCTTTGGTCTGATGAGTCCAAATGTGAGATTTTTGGTTCCAACCACCGTATCTTTGTGAGACGCAAATTAGGTGAACTGATGATTCCTGCATGTGTGGTTCCCATGGAGGAGGTGTGATGGTGTGGGGATGCTTTGCTGTTGACATTGTCTGTGATTTATTTAGAATTCAAGGCACACTTAACCAGCATGGCTACCACAGCATTCTGCAGCGATACACCATCTCATCTGGTTTGGGCTTAGTGGGATTATCATTTGTTTTTCAACAGGACAATGACCCAAAACACACCTCCAGACTGTGTAAGGGTTATTTGACCAAGAAGGCGAGTGATGGAGTGCTGCATCAAATGACCTGGTCTCCACAATCACCCGACCTCAACCCAATTGAGATGGTTTGGGATAAGTTGGACCGGAGAGTGAAGGAAAAGCAGCCAACAACTGCTCAGCATATGCGGGAACTCCTTCAAGACACTGTTGGAAAAGCATTCCTCATGAAGCTGGTTGAGAGAATGCCAAGAGTGTGCAAAGCTGTCATCAATGCAAAAGTTGGCTACTTAGAAGAATCTAAAATCTAAAATATATTTTCATTTGTTTAACACTTTTTTGGTTACTACATGATTCTATATGTGTTATTTCATAGTGTTGATGTCTTCACTATTATTCTACAATGTAGAAAATAGTGAAAAATTATGAAAAACCCTTGGTGTGTCCAAACTTTTGACTGGTACTGAATATACAGCTCTGGAAGAAATAAAGAGACCACTGCAAAATTATCAGTTTCTCTGGTTTTACTATTTATAGGTATGTGTTTGGGTAAAAATAACATTTTTGTTTTATTCTATAAACTACTGACAACATTTCTCCCAAATTACAAATAAAAATATTTTCATTTAGAGCATTTATTTGCAGAAAATGACAACTGGTCAAAATAACAAAAAAGATGCAGTATTGTCAGACCTCGAATAATGCAAAGAAAATAAGTTAATGTTAATTTTTAAACAACACAGTACTAATGTTTTAATTTAGGAAGAGTTCAGAAATCAAAATTTGGTGGAATAACCCTGATTTTCAATCACAGCTTTCATGCGTCTTGGCATGCTCTCCACCAGTCTTTCACATTGATGTTGGGTGACTTCATGCCACTCCTGGCGCAAGAATTCAAGCAGCTCGGCTTTGTTTGATGGCTTGTGACCATCCATCTTCCTCTTGATCACATTCCAGAAGTTTTCAATGGGGTTCAGGTCTGGAGATTGGGCTGGCCATGACAGGGTCTTGATCTGGTGGTCCTCCATCCACACCTTGATTGACCTGGCTGTGTGGAATGGCGCATTGTCCTGCTGGAAAAACCAATCCTCAGAGTTGGGGAACAATGTCAGAGCAAAAGGAAGCAAGTTTTCTTCCAGGACAACCTTGTACGTGGCTTGATTCATGCGTCCTTCACAAAGACAAATCTGCCCGATTTCAGCCTTGCTGAAGCACCCCCAGATCATCACCGATCCTCCGCCAAATTTCACAGTGGGTGCGAGACACTGTGGCTTGTAGGACTCTCCAGGTCTCCGTCTAACCAATAGACGACGAGGTGTTGGGCAAAGCTGAAAATTGGACTCATCAGAGAAGATGACCTTACTCCAGTCCTCTACGGTCCAATCCTTATGGTCTTTTGCAAACCTCAGCCTGGCTCTTCTTTGCTTCTCATTGATGAAGGGCTTTTTTCTAGCTTTGCACAACTTCAGCCCCGCCCCTAGGAGCCTGTATCGAACCGTCCTCACTGTGCACTTCACCCCAGCTGCCGTTTGCCATTATTTTTGTAGGTCACTTGATGTCATCCTACGGTTGTTGAGTGACATTAGAATTAGTTGGCGGTCATCCCGTTCAGTAGAGAGTCGTTTTCGCCCTCTGCCGGTCTGTAGCTTTGTTGTCCCCAATGTCTGCTGCTTGACCTTGTTCTTGGAAGCAACCTGACGCTCACTGTATCCCTTTGCCAGTAAAGCCAGAATTGAACCCTTCTTTTCCTCACTCAAAACTTTCCTTTTCAACTCTTTTGGCATGGTCAATAGTTATTTTTTTATTAATATAACTTTTGAGGTACTATTAGCACTGTTTTTGCCGTCCAGCTGGTCCTATTGCAAGAGGATAGTGATGACCACAGAAGTGGTTTTTATACTTTTCCTTGTTAAATAAGATTTGGTTCACGTGATCACCTAATCTGTACCTAATTCAGTAGAATGATGTGTGCCTGTGTTGGAATTCAATAGACACTGGAATGGAATGGCTGTCATACATTCTACTGATGTTAATTTTTTCCAGAGCTGTATATAGTATTAATTTGTTATATCTGTGTTCATGTTGTCTATGCGTTTCTAGTTGATAGACCATATGGTTCAAGAGAAAATAGCTGAATAAAAAAAGCATCTAATTAACAATGGCATTATTTTCAAACGAATATGCAACTCTTCCAACTATTGTATTTTTTAAAATTAAATTAAATTAAATTTTTGTCATTAGCAGACCTCTTATCCAGAGCGCCTACAGAGCAATTGGGTTTGGGCTCAGGGCACACGCAGATTTTCACCTAGTGGTAGGGATTAGACAGCGAAACACACGTCTACCCCTAAGCACCTTGATAAATTTGTAAATTCAAAAAGTGGCTTTGTAAAGGGTATTTCAAACTGCCTCCATGGCGCAAAAGCAAATAAAAAAAGTGTGTAAAGAAATATAAAGGATATTTCATGTTGAAACCATCATATTAAACACCAATGGTATTCACTAAATTGATGGTTTGTATTTAGGATAATGTTTTACAGTTTTGTCATTCAACATTTCTATTTTAAAATGTCATCTGATAAAATGCCATATATTCCTTGAAAGTTACAAAAATTCTGGTAGTTTACTGGTAAACTTCAAAAGGTTCCAGTACCCTAGTTCTGCATATAGCTCACAGTGGAGTGAATGGTGTATATGCTCAGAATTGGGGCTGATTCAGGAGGATGCAACAGAGAAATGCATTGTGCTGAATAGACATGATTCTAATTTCACTAGCATACCAAATGCAGATAGTTTTATGAACTTCAATTACTGTAGTAAACATTGTATTGACAAAGCAGTGTGTTTCCCGCTTGGCTTGTTTAACCTCTCTTTCCCAGTATATGAGTCCCTGGTGAAATCTGAACACAATTTGGCTAGATATCACCTTTATTGCTCAGAGCATGGCTTTAAACTGTTTAGTTCCCCAGAACACCACTTATCTTACAGGATTTACAATAACCTGAAAGTGTCTTCTAAGCTCTGGTTTGTTAAAGGTACAGTGCATTCAGAAAGTATTCAGACCCCTTGACTTTTTCCATATTTTGTTACGTTACAGCCTTATTCAAAAATTGATTAAATAGTTTTTTTTCCCCCTCATCAATTTACACACAATACCCCATAATGACAAAGCCAAAACAGGTTTTTTGAAATTTTAGCAAATTTATAAAATAAAATAAACCGAAATATCACATTTACATAAGTATTCAGACCCTTTACTCAGTACTTTGTTGAAGCACCTTTGGCAGCGATTACAGCCTAGAGTCTTCTTGGGTATGATCCTACAAGCTTGGCACACCTGTATTTGGGGAGTTTCTCCGATTCTTCTCTGCAGATCCTCTCAAGCTCTGTCAGGTTGGATGGGGAGTGTCGCTGTACAGCTATTTCCAGGTCTCTCCAGATATGTTCTATCAGGTTCAAGTCCGGGCTCTGGCTGGGCCACTCAAGGACATTCAGAGACTTGTCCCGGAGCTACTGTTTGCTTAGGGTCTTTGTCCTGTTGGAAGGTGAACCATCGCCCCAGTCTGAGGTCCTGAGTGCTCTGGAGCAGGTTTTCATGAAGGATCTCTCTGTACTTTGCTCCATTCAGAATTCCATAAATCCTGACTACTCTCCCAGTCCCTGCTGCTGAAAAACATTCCCACAGCATGATGCTGCCACCAGCATGCTTCACTGTAGGGATGGTGCCAGGTTTCCTCCAGACGTGACGCTTGGCATTCATTCCAAAGAGTTCAATCTTAGTTTCATCAGACCGGAGAATCTTGTTTCTCATGGTCTGAGAGTCCTTTAGGTGCCTTTTGGCAAACTCCAAGCGGGCTGCCATGTGCCTTTTAATAAGGAGTGGCTTCCGTAGAAAGACCTGATTGGTGTAGTGCTGCAGAGATGGTTGTCCTTCTGGAAGGTTCTCCCATCTCCACAGAGGAACTCTGAAGCTCAGTCAGAGTGACCATCGGGTTTTTGGTCACCTCCCAGACCAAGGCCCTTCTCCCCCAATTGCTCAGTTTGGCCGGGCGGCAAGTTCTAGGAGGTCTTGGTGCTTCCAAACTTCTTCAATTTAAGAATGATGGAGGCCACTCTGTTCTTGGGGACCTTCAATGCTGCAGAAATTTTTTGGTACCCTTACCCAGATCTGTGCCTCGACACAATCCTGTCTCGGAGCTCTACAGACAATTCCTTCGACCTCATGGCTTGGTTTTTGCTCTGACATGCATTGTCAACTGTGGGACCTTATATAGACAGGTGTGTGCCTTTCTAAATCATGTCCAATCAAATGAATTTCCCACAGGTGGACTCCAATCAAGTTGGAGTCCACACTTCGCTCTCACACAGTCACACAAAGTATCTGCTCATGTGCACGGGTTCGCTTCACGCTGTTACAGCGTGGTAGCCAGGACACCAAAACAGCTGAGAAGTTGAGCCTCGCGCTTCATCGCTCTTAGTTGTTGCGGAAATTGACCCACTATGCTGTTTACTTTCTGAATCTACGTAATATCGCTGAGTCTACCTTTAAGAGACCAAACTGCTAACAATTTTATGCACGTCTTAGAGCGCCATAATGTAAGACCCACTGTAATCTTCTGGTAAATCTCTCTTCCCAGAGTGGAGTCATTAATCCTGTACCACCAACGGAGAAAAAGGAGGTTAGCCCCTTATAAACACACTGACATAATCCTAAACACATCCTAGATCTGCTTTAGCCAGCCCCTTATAAACACACTGACATCATCCTAAACACATCCTAGATCTGCTTTAGCCAGCCCCTTATAAACACACTGACTACTGTGTATCCTAGACCTCCTAGACCCCCTGTACTATAGCCATGTGCCTCCCTCTAATTACCTATCATGAGCACAATAATGAGAGCTTAACACTACCTAGACACTGTACAGTGTAGACTGCAATGCAAAGTTATTTGTTCGGCTCATATTAATGGCAATAAGGGTATGGCTTTGTGGAAATATTATTCAATACCCTTGAATGGGAGCGCGCAAGGTCCCCTGTGCTACAGTATGTAGCCAGGTTATTTGCTGGAGATTGATGGTGGGCACTCAGGCACAGCTTGGACATAATGAATAAGCAGACTTGATGTTAATTTTCTTAATTATACAAAATGTTCACAAACAAAACAGACGGCATCGATCAATCCTTCAATGTTATCTATGTAGTAGAAATGAGAGACACAGATTCATTTTATTGTTTCAAGAGGCAGTGCTCCAAACAGCAGCAGCAGGCTCCTCTCTTTCCTTTCCCCATAAAGGCAGATTAGGGTTGCCTTCAGCTGTGCATAATTAACAATATGTCTAGTCATTGGCATCACATTTGATTAAAAACCTTTGCAAGGTCTGCTGGAATGGTATGATTTGTTCTTTCAGTTGGTTAAAGAAAGAACTAGAGTAGGTAACAAAGTTACCCCACCATCTGTTTGTCTCTAGGAAAGAGGGATACTTTTATTCAGTTCTTTTTATCACTTTTTGCAAGCATTATTTTCATACCATCCCACTCGGTACAGATGTCAATTCAACGTCTATTCCACGTTGGTTCAATGTCTATTCCTCGTTTGTTCAACGTAATTTCATTGAAATGACGTGGAAACAACGTTGATTCAACCAGTTTGTGCCCAGTGGGATATCATTTTACATGGATAGTTTGACTCCACAAATGTGGGAACCATCTGTATCTGATGCCTCTGAGTGTACAGTATCTGTGATAAAAGGTTAGACATTGACAGTATTCATTCCCATGGAGTAGGATTTCCTTAATATGAACATAATAAATAGGATGATTAGTAATGGATGACTCAAGCAGAGGGATTCCATTGTTTGAAATTTCACCATCAAATAGTGCAGCTTCATCAATCTAATAACTAAAGGTCACTGATGGAAGGAGAGCAGGAACGGGGAAGATATACCATTTGTAGTGATTCATTACAGTAAATCAATGGGGACCTTTTCTGCTTAATGGCTTAATTTTTTTAATAACTTCCGTTAACACTTTATTTTGATAATCCCAAGTAGATGGTTTGTAGATCAGTAGTTCAGTAGATGTTCAATAACTGTCAACAACATTCCAACTAACTACAGTATCTACTAACCCTAACCCTACCCCTAACCCTAACCTTAACCCTTATCCTTATCCTTATCCTAAACCTAAACTTAACCCTTACCCTAACCCTTATTCTAAACCTAAACCAAACCTTAACCTTAGGAAGCAGTTGCTTATCAACAGATAATTTGCTGATAGTATGACCATATGTAGATCATCTATATGGGACTATCCAAATAAAATGTGACCTAACTTCCCAAGTTTGGTCAGTAGCTAAAGTTCAAATGCATTTCTCATACCTGCCGAAATGGACGATAATCAAACACCAAATGCAATGCATCTCAAAAACCGCCATGACAGTCGTTTGTTTGTGACATCAATCGAGTCACCCGTAGGGCTGTTGTGGTGACCATATTACCGCCACACCGGCAGTCATGAGTCATAACCGCAGTCAAATTCTACGTGACCGTTTAGTCACGGTAATCTCCTCTTATGCGTTGGTAGTACCCAACTCGCTAACGACCATCAGGTCGCTAATGGCCTGGTAATCAGGGCTCTATAGTCCCTCTAACCATTCCATCAATGCAAATGCAATCGGAAATCACATCAAACAAATCATCAAAACAGTATCATCCTTTTAAAACTCACCTCACAAATTCACTACAGTTATAATGAATTTGTATTTTATTTTGAATAGCCTAGTAATAGGGCCGTTTTTATATTTTTATAATTAATAGGCTAGCACACTACCTTTCGCGACAGAATATCTCACCACTGTGCATTTCCATCTCCTCCCCTCTCTCCTTCATTAATTTCTTGAGCGCACAGAAAGAGGGGCTGTCAACAGTTTAATGAAGTATGTTTCGTTTTGAAAACATGTTACTATCGATGTTCCCGAATAGATTGCACTTGGTTTGGCTGCAGGAACAGGGTTGGAGAGCCCATGGCATAAAGAGTTTGGGTGGAATATCACCTGTCACGCAGCAAGAGGCTGCATGCTCCACAAACAGTGGTTGATGCATGGAGTGAAATAACCGGAGTAGCCTACCCGGCATGATTGAAAAACGAACAGGCGGGAAAGCGGCCTCCATTCCTTATTGGAGTGCATACGGATGACATTTATTTTTTCCCCTGCCCCTGTTCCTGCCCATTTGATAATGGGCCATTGTAAGTCAAAACAGATTTTACATATTAGTAAAGACAAGATTAAATTGAGAATAGTCTGATGGGTGAACATATACAGTAAATGTGATCACTTGATGAGAGAACAGAATGTGCAGCCTGAGACAAGTAACAGAGTGCAAGCTTTTTTGTGTGACTTTCTCACATCATCAATAGCCTATAGTCGCATCATGCAGCCCATATATGTTTTGATTTCTAAGACATTCTAAGGTTTGTATCATTCACAACTAAATTAGCCAAATAACTCTAAATCTAGCCTATAGGACCTGTTTCAAATGATCACTTTTACACTCAACCTACTTCATATGCGCACTAGCTCCGGAATGGGAAAATATATCCTTTCTATTTTATTTAGATGTTCAATTACAGTGCCTTCAGAAAGTATTCATACCGCTTGACTTATTCCACATTTTGTTGTGTTACAGCCTGAATTCAAAATGGATTAAATGTTGGGTTTTTTCTCATCCATCTACACACAATACACCATAATGACAAAGTGAAAACATTTATTTAAAATGAAATACAGGAATATCACACACCTTTGTAGAAATAAAATAAATAATAAATAAATTGGTCATTTAGCAGACGCTCTTATCCAGAGCGACTTACAGAAGCACATTTGGCAGTGATTACAGCTGTGAGTCTTTCTGGGTAAGTCTCTAAGAGCTTTCCACACCTATATTGTGCAACATTTGCCCGTTATTCTTTTCAAAATTCTTCAAGGTCTGTCAAATTGGTTGTTGATCATTGCTAGACAACCATTTTCAGTTCTTGCCATATATTTTCAAGCAGATTTAATTCAAAACTGTAACTGGCCACTCAGGAACATTCACTGTCTTCTTGGTAAGCAACTCCAGTGTATATTTGGTCTTGTGTTTTAGGTTATTGCCCTGCTGAAAGGTGAATTCATCTCCCAGTGTCTGGTGGAAAGCAGACTGAACCAGGTTTTCCTCTAGGAATTTTGCCTGTGCATAGCTCCATTCCCTTTCTTTTTTATCCTGAAAAACTCCCCAGTCCTTAACGATTACAAGCATACCCATAACATGATGCAGCCACCACTATGCTTGAAAATATGGAGAGGGGTACTCAGTAATGTGTTGTATTGGATTTGCCCCAACATAACACTTTGTATTCAAGACAAAAAGTTAATTGCTTTGTCAAATTTTTTGCAGTATTAATTTAGTGCCTTGTTGCAAACAGGATGCATGTTTTGAAATATTTGAATTCTGTACAGGCGTCCTTCTTTTCACTCTGTCAATTAGGTTTGTATTGTGGAGTAACTGCTATGTTGTTGATCCATCCTCAGTTTTCTCCTATCACAGCCATTAAACTATGTAACTGTTTTAAAATCACCATTGGCCTCATGGTGAAATCCCTGAGCAGTTTCCTTCCTGTCCGGCAACTGAGTTAGGAAGGACACCTGTATCTTTGTAGTGACTGGGTATATTGATACACCATCTAAAGTGTAATTAATATCTTCACCATGCTCAAAGGGAAATTCAATGTCTGCTTTAAAAAAAAAAAAATCCCAATCTACCAATGGGTGCCCTTGTTTGCGAGGCATTGGAAACCTCCCTGGTCTTTGTGGTTGAATCTGTGTTTAAAATTCACTGCTCGACTGAGGGACCTTACAGTTAATTTTGTGTGTGCGGTACAGAGATGAGTCAGTCATTCAAAGATCATGTTAAACACTATTATTGCACACAGAGTGAGTCCAACTTATTATGTGACTTGTTAAGCACTTATTTAGACTTGCCGTAACAAAGGTGTCACAAGCTGATGTGGATGCGGTGTTGGAGTCAGGCGCAGGACACAGAAGCTCAGTCAAAACGACTTTACTAGTCAACAAGACAATACAAAATAACGGGCCTCAAACACTGGAGGCGAGCGATTACGCATATAGTGCGTAAATACACTATCAACACGAGAACAAATACCATACATCAACGGACAGGCGGACAATCACACACAACTGCAAACAAAACTAAAGGAAACTTATAGGTGACCTAATCAATACATAACACGAAACAGGTGCACTAACAAGACAAGACCAAACAAACATCGAGACATCAAGCGGTGGTAGCTAGTACTCCGGGGACGACGAACGCCGAAGCCTGCCCGAGCAAGGAGGAGGAGCAGTCTCGGCGGAATTCGTGACAAAAGGGGTTGAATACTTATTGACTTAAGACATTTAAACTTTTATTATTATTATTTTGTATTAATTTGAAAACATTTCGAAAAACATAATTCCACTCTGACATTATGGAGTATTGTGTCTAGGCCAGTAACAAAACAATCTCAAGTCAATCCATTACACAACAAAATGCGGAAAAAGTCAAGGGATATGAATACTTTCTGTAGGCACCGTATATTCTTCTTACTATAAAATACTATAATACAAACATGAACAAGCATACAGCCTATGGCATGGTGCATAGCCAGATAACATACAGTAGGCCAACTCATGTTCTGTTCTTCTGAAATCCATATCATGTTCCTTTAGACCTGCCTAAAATAAATAATGGATTTATCGTGATGGTGTATATTACATTGATTTATTCAACTTTTTTAAATGTACATGTTCCAAAGGCGCGCATCAGCAGCTTGAATGCGTGGAGGCCTCGAGATGCTAAACGTGTTTATGTTAATTAATTGTCAATTACCGTGAGACCGGCAGTCTTTTGCATGACAATAACCAGTTGACAAAATGTCATGTCCGCCACGGCCCTATCTGTGATAAAAGGTTAGACATTGACAGTATTCATTCCCATGGAGTAGGATTTCCTTAATATGAACATAATAAATGGGATGATTAGTAATGCACTTCGATTATAGATTAATAGATGAATAGATTAATCAAGCAGAGTTGTTCCGTTGTTTGAAATTTCACCATCAAATAGTCTAGCCTCATCAATCTAATAACTAATGGAGGGAGAGCAGGAACAGGGAAGATATACTATTTGTAGTGATTCATCACAGTAAATCAATGGGGACCTTTTCTGCTTCTCCTGCTCATTTGGACATTTGAGCTGACTGCAATGGCTTATGATATTACCTTCATTTAGCAAATAACTTCCGGTGACACTTTATTTGGCTAATCCCAAGTAGATGGCTTGTAGATGTTCAGTAGATGTTCAATAACTGTCAACAACATTCCAACTAACTACAGTATCTACTAACCCTAGCCCTAACCCTAACCTTAACCCTTATCCTAACCCTAAACTTAACCCTTACCCTAACCCTAGCCCTAACCTTAACCCTAACCCTTACCCTTACCCTAATCTGAATCCTGTCCCTAACCTTAACTGTTATCTTAGCAAGCAGTTGCTTATCAACAGATAATTTGCTGATAGTATGACCATCTGTAGATCATCTGTATGGGACTATCAAAATAAAGTGTAACCTAACTTCCCAAGTTTGGTCAGTAGCTAAAGTGCATGGGTACACAGTAGGGTATGAATAGTTCTGATACTGTCAATAATGCAAATGCATTTCTCATACCTGCCGAAATGGACAATAATTAAACACCAAATTCAATGCATCTCAAAAACCGCGATGACAGGCGATTGTTTGTGACATCAATCGAGTCATACGGCATGTTGTTTATACTGTCCTATATCAAATGAAGTGACCCGGTAGTGTTGGCAATGACATTGCCAATCATTTACATTCAGCAGAAGTTGTGCAGATGGTCCCCCCAGGTCCCCGCATGAAAAACTGCTGATTTAAGAGGAATGTCATCCTTAATTAATAGCAGCCCGTAAATGGAGTGCATTCCACGCAAAGACTGATATAAGCCACCACCATTCTGCTGCTCCTGCCAGCAGGCACATTCGCCCCTGTGCATCCAGCTAGCGGCGAGTCACTGAGCATCATCGAAATTCACAACGCAACCTGCTCAAACACGGGATTAGCTACTGATGTTTCAATGAGGACAGCTCCTCTTTTCATGTGACAGTACCTTAATCCCGTCAGACTGGAGCCACACCAAGCTGACACCCCTATGGAAATGTGCTTTAATGACATTAAGGGTAAGCCTTTGGAAAACAGAGGAGATGAAGGGCAGCAGGGAGCAGGCAGCACAAAGTACACTGCCAAAAAGCCCTACCCTTAAAAACTGGTGTCGGTTTTAATGCCGTTCTGGAAATAAAGACACACTACATGACCAAAAGTATGTTGACACCTGCTCGTCGAACATCTCATTCCAAAACCATGGGCATTAACATGGAGTTGGTCCCCCCCTTTACTGCTATAACAGTCTCCACTCTTCTGGGAAGGCTTTCCACTAGATTTTGGAACATTGCTGCAGAGATTTGCTTCCATTCAGCTACAAGAGTATTAGTGAGGTCGGGCACTGATGTTGGGCAATTAGGATTTCCTCGCAGTCTGCGTTCCAATTCATCCCAAAGGTGTTTGATGGGGTTGAGGTCAGGGCTCTGTGCAGGCCAGTCAAGTTCTTCCACACCGATCTCGTCAAACCATTTCTGTATGGACCTTGCTTTGTGCACGGGGGCATTGTCATGCTGAAACAGGAAAGGGCCTTCCCCAAACTTTTGCCACAAAGTTGGAAGCAGAGAATCATCTAAAATGTCACTGTATGCTGTAGCGTTAAGATTTCCCTTCACTGGAACTAAGGGGCCTAGCCCGAACCATGAAAAACATCCCGCCCCAGACCATTATTCCTCCTCCACCAAACTTTACAGTTGGGGCAGGTAGCGGTCTCCTGGCATCCGCCAAACCCAGATTCGGCCAGCCGACTGCCAGATGGTGAAGCGTGATTCATCACTTTAGAGAACGCGTTTCCACTGCTCCAGATTCCAATGGCGGTGAGCTTTACACCACTCCAGCCGACGTTTGGCATTGCACATGGTGATCTTAGGCTTGTCGGCCATGGAAACCCATTCCATGAAGCTCCCGACAAACAGTTATTGTGCTGACATTGCTTCCAGAGGCAGTTCGGAACTGGGTAGTGAGTGTTGCAACCGAGGACAGACGATTGTTACGCGCTACGCACTCAGCAGTCCCGCTCTGTGAGCTTGTGTGGCCTACCACTTTGCGGCTGAGCCGTTGTTGCTCCTAGACGTTTCCACTTCACAATAACAACACTTACAGTTGACCGGGGCAGCTCTAGCAGGGCAGACATTTCATGAAATGACTTGTTGGAAAGATGGCATCCTATGACGGTGCCACGTTGAAAGTCACTGAGCTCTTCAGTAAGGCCATTCTACTGCCAATGTTTGTCTATGGAGATTGCATGGCGGTGTGCTTGATTTTATACACCTGTCAGAGTCAGGTGTGGCTGAAATAGCCGAATCCACTAATTTGAAGGGGAGTCCACATACTTTTGGTGATGTAGTGTATATATTCATGCTTAAGTTCAAATACAGCGGGGAAAAAAAGTATTTAGTCAGCCACCAATTGTGCAAGTTCTCCCACTTAAAAAGATGAGAGAGGCCTGTAATTTTCATCATAGGTACACGTCAACTATGACAGACAAATTGAGCATTTTTTTTCCAGAAAATCACATTGTAGGATTTTTTATGAATTTATTTGCAAATTATGGTGGAAAATAAGCATTTGGTCACCTACAAACAAGCAAGATTTCTGGCTCTCACAGACCTGTAACTTCTTCTTTAAGAGGCTCCTCTGTCCTCCACTCATTACCTGTATTAATGGCACCTGTTTGAACTTGTTATCAGTATAAAAGACACCTGTCCACAACCTCAAACAGTCACACTCCAAACTCCACTATGGCCAAGACCAAAGAGCTGTCAAAGGACACCAGAAACAAAATTGTAGACCTGCACCAGGCTGGGAAGACTGAATCTGCAATAGGTAAGCAGCTTGGTTTGAAGAAATCAACTGTGGCAGCAATTATTAGGAAATGGAAGACATACAAGACCACTGATAATCTCCCTCGATCTGGGGCTCCAAGCAAGATCTCACCCCGTGGGGTCAAAATGATCACAAGAACGGTGAGCAAAAATCCCAGAACCACACGGGGGGACCTAGTGAATGACCTGCAGAGAGCTGGGACCAAAGTAACAAAGCCTACCATCAGTAACACACTATGCCGCCAGGGACTCAAATCCTGCAGTGCCAGACGTGTCCCCCTGCTTAAGCCAGTACATGTCCAGGCCCGTCTGAAGTTTGCTAGAGTGCATTTGGATGATCCAGAAGAGGATTGGGAGAATGTCATATGGTCAGATGAAACCAAAATAGAACTTTTTGGTAAAAACTCAACTCGTCACGTTTGGAGGACAAAGAATGCTGAGTTGCATCCAAAGAACACCATACCTACTGTGAAGCATGGGGGTGGAAACATCATGCTTTGGAGCTGTTTTTCTGCAAAGGGACCAGGACGACTGATCCGTGTAAAGGAAAGAATGAATGGGGCCATGTATCGTGAGATTTTGAGTGAAAACCTCCTTCCATCAGCAAGGGCATTGAAGATGAAACGTGGCTGGGTCTTTCATTATGACAATGATCCCAAACACAAAGCCCGGGCAACGAAGGAGTGGCTTGGTAAGAAGCATTTCAAGGTCCTGGAGTGGCCTAGCCAGTCTCCAGATCTCAACCCCATAGAAAATCTTTGGAGGGAGTTGAAAGTCCGTGTTGCCCAGCGACAGCCCCAAAACATCACTGCTCTAGAGGAGATCTGCATGGAGGAATGGGCCAAAATACCAGCAACAGTGTGTGAAAACCTTGTGAAGACATATAGAAAACGTTTGACCTGTGTCATTGCCAACAAAGGGTATATAACAAAGTATTGAGAAACTTTTGTTATTGACCAAATACTTATTTTCCACCATAATTTGCAAATAAATTCATTAAAAATCCTACATGTGATTTTCTGGAGAAAAAAAATCTCATTTTGTCTGTCATAGTTGACGTGTACCTATGATGAAAATTACAGGCCTCTCTCATCTTTTGAAGTGGGAGAACTTGCACAATTGGTGGCTGACTAAATACTTTTTCCCCCCAATGTATGTAAACATACCTTGAAGATAAAGATGCTAAGTGTCTGGGTTTTAGTGCATTAAGCCCATTTAGGCTAGTAAGCCTGTTTATTTTGATGGGCCAGTCACAAGACGTGTATCTCCTTCACTAAGATGGCAGGAATCTGCTATTCAACAGTGGCTCAGTACAGTGTGTGATCTGTGGTGTACATAACAGCATACATACAGTACTTAGTATGTATAGGGCATACCATACCTATCAGGAAACCAATTTTCACATGCAGCATGGCTCTGATAAGATATTCCTAACCCTCACATCCAGTCCTTGTGCTGAAGGGGAAACAGGTCCTTTGGTGCAGCCAGAGATATAAATAGGGCATGGTTTTATTTCACTCTCATAAACATGCAGATTGATTAGGGTCATTTTCTGCTAGCCTGCCTCCCTCCACCCAACCCCCTCCCTCCATTAGTGATGAAAACCTAGATTTATTGCCACGTCCGTCACTGCCACACTATAATTCACTGGCACATTGGCTGCATGCTTTTATGTAAATGACCAATCGTAATAAGGCATATCAAAAAGCATGTCTCTGTCTCTCTGTTCATAGGAGCGCATACAGGTTGCCAATGGGGCGTTGTCAATCAGCCGACTGACGCTGTCCGATATTGGAATGTATCAATGTGTGGCTGGAAACAAACATGGGGAGGTCTACTCCAATGTAGAGCTCAAAGTCATAGGTAAGGCAATACAAGGTCTGTGGATGTGCCTGTCTGACAGCCTACATACCGGTGCATGTATTGAATGTTGTACAGTATGCACGTTTGTTTGTTGTGTGCATGTTTTAGTGTCATTGCTAGTTTGTTTTTCCGTTCTCTACCATCGCAGTGTGACCTCTAGCTTCTCTGTGATTGCCTCCTAATTAAAAAGCATTCATTAAAAGATGAATGCACTGTGGTGCTGTTGATGTATGGCCATGCCACTGTGCTCTCCAGTCCCACCCATCTGCCCTGTCAGTCCTGTTACTCAGGACCCTGTTCCCTGGCACAGGGCTGGCCTCCAGTTATCACTCCCGAAACCCATCTCCCACCACTCTTGATCATTGTTTTGTCATTGATTGGAATTAGATCCAACACAGCCAAAGTTTCCAGGTTGAATTAAACGTGAAGGAGGTAAAAACGTCATTGACAGTCCCTGGCAGAGAAACACTAATTGAGGTGCTTTATAAAAGCAAAGGGAGGGAGGATCCTGGAGAGAAAAGTAAATGATCATGATAGAACTAATTTGTCTTTCTTAGCCGAAAAAAGGATTCCCTGTTTTTTAAGGAGTGCAGTGTGTTGCACTCTCCTTCCTTCCCTGCCATTTCTACTCAACACATTACACGCCTCACTCTTTAGGGGTTATACAGATAACGTTCCATTTCATCATTCTTTTTTTGTTTTGTGCTTTTTCAATATGTCTGCCTTTGACTCACTCTCTGTCTAGTCCATACAAGCTGGAGTGTGGAGTTTAGTAATCTCCTTGAGCCTTGTCTACCCTGGCTAAGACCTGCTCTAGCTCTGGCCAATGACAATGACTCTCTCTCGGTCTTGCCAAATGGGAGTCTCTTGTTCCCTTGATGTATATGTTGTTCTTTCCTGAGACCTTACCAGGAAAGACTCTGGATCCAGTATACTGAGGTTTTCCTAGTTCTGGTTATGTGTTCAGGATAAACTCATGTCTTTACGCTCATGTAATACATGTCGAAAGTTAGACATAAGAAAGTAAAGGGGCAGGGAACTGTTTGGTTTTTAACATGCATGTGTTGTCTCAGCTGTTGCCCCAGATTTCTCCCAGAACCAGCTGAGGAGCCACACCATGGTGAAGGAGCGAGGAGATGTGCTGATCGAGTGCAGGCCCAAAATGTCCCCCTGGGGTGTGATCTCCTGGAGGAAGGGCAGTGAGACTCTACGAGAGAGCAACAGGTAACCTAACAATCTCTCTCTTTATTAGGTAATCCCTCTCTCTGTAAGGGGGTTGATTTCCTAAGCCCTGGGGTTACTGTAGGATTTGTTCAGGTATGGTACCCTGGAGGCAATGTTCTTGTAGTATTGATAAAGAGCAAATGCCAGACACCCCTGGCTATGATTACTGTATGTTTACCTTGCCCGGCTCTGTAGCTTTATATTATATCTCTGGTCATATTAGTGATTCTATTCCTCACTGTTACAGAGTCCCTCCTTGACTGTTAACATTTTATCTCCAGCTTTGCGTTGAAATAAATATTTGAAGTAACATCTCTGTCTGTATACCTACCTGCTTCAGATGTAGACTCCTGTAGGCCAGTGTTAATTTCATCAACAATAACTATGACGAAAAATATTGGTCAACGACCTATTTTTCCGGACGAAAACTAATGACGATAACGAGACGAGATGCCATGGAAAAAAAGATAACTATTATAAATGACTTTTCATTTTAGTTGACGAGAGGAGAATTCCGTATGAGACTAATGGGCATTCAATTTGACATGAAGCTCCTTTTCATCTGTTATATCCAATCATAAGCATGCATACCTTTGCAGAATATCATTGGTCGTTTAGTTGGACGGGCTGATTGAGCTGATCTACCCGGCTCTCCCACACACACAGCTACCAGGCGGTCACCTCAGTCACTCATCTTTCTTTTGAACTGATGCATAGCCAGGACATTTCAATTGTAACAATAATGTTTACTGTCTCTTACTTTATTTTAGCTTTTTCATGATTTGCTTTTTCACGATTGGAAATACTAATGCTATTTGCTGAATATTGGGAGTACAGTAATAATTCTAGCATTGTTGGAAAGCTCAGGTTCTCCCCTTTTAAGGGAATCACTGTTATTTACCCCATCACAAGGTTATGATGGGGAGAAAATCAGAGCTGTAGGTCTACATTGTTTAACCTGTAGCCAATAACAATGTTGCCAGCAATATGAGGGGATAGTAGGCCTTGTTGGACAAGGCTATCTTAATGTGCACATAGAAGTTGGAGGTAAAAAAAAATGCACAGAGTAAAATGTGACTAACATGACAGTGACTAAAACAAGACTAAAATTGTCCAGAGTTTTAGTTGACTGATAATAGCTAAAACTACGATGGCTGAAATGATTAAAATGAAATAAATATCTGACCAAATTAAACACTGCTTTAGGCCTATATTCAGTAAATGTTTCAACTCACTGAGTGTACAAAACATTAGGAACACCTTCCTAATATTGAGTTGCACCCCCTTTGTCCTCAGAACAGCCTCAATGACATCAATAAGGGATCATAGCTTTCACCTGGATTCACCTGGTCAGTCTATATCATGGTGTTCCTAATGTTTTGTACACTTAATGTATAATCCCTGTTGTAATACACAGTGTAGATATACACCAAAAACAAACCAGTGTGAGTACTGAAGGTATAATTAGTTTGGCCAGTACTTATGGGTGTCCCGATATGCCCCTCGCTGTGCAGAGTCTGGGTGCTAATCAAGCACTCTTCGCCCTCTGTGGGGGTGTGTGGGCGACTATACCAGTCACTGTCTGCTGACATGACATGCTTTTCTGGGCTAACGTGTTAAGCCAGCCTCCTGCTATCAGTGACGGGAGAGCAGTGTGTGTGTTTGGGTGAGTGAGTGGTGTGTCTGGGTAGCGTCAGGGATCTGGTCAGTCAGAATGTCCTGATCCAGACAGCGGTTGCGCCCCTTTGGTGGCACGACTCTGACAGCAGGACTGTGTGCAGAGTGTCTGGTACGTCTCGTCATAGTTTACATATACACAAAGAAGTGTTGTTGCTAAACAAAGTGGCCCAGCATTTGCATAGTGGTTACGCTGCTGGTGCCCTTCAGTTGCCCTGTATACCTACGTATATGATGCTGTCTCCCAAGCAGACTGATCAAGGCTGGAATTCTGAAGCGCATCAGGTTTTATTAATAAAATATGTATTTTTCTATTCTAGTGTTTTGTCATCCCCTCTTGAACTGACAGTTTGAATCTTGGGTGAACTATGAGGTAGCAACGGATTACACACAAAAAAATGAGGGTTCCTCAAAGGTTATTTGGGAAGGGTGATGGTTCTACTGTACTGACCCAAAGAACTGGCCCAAAGAACCATTTGAGCCATTCAATTACTCTTTGCAGTTCAAAAAAGGGTTCTTTCCTCTTTTAGTGATAATTAAAATGTAGGGGTGGTGGTTCATTAGAATATTTTGGGGCATGATTTGCTCACAGCTCTTTTTGTGCAACTGTGAGTGAGAGTGTCATTCCAGTGTATCTAATCTGTTGTGTTATGCTATAATTGTTGTATATGACAATGCCAGTGACGGTGTCTTGTGAAAGACTTACCTATGGCCTTGTGTCAATTGAGAACGGTTGACTAAGTCAGTAGTTTGCAATTCTCTCCCAGCTGTTGCAGAGCTAGCACACCTGATTCAACCTATGGCATTTTAACAATACAATATAAAGCCAGAATAAAAAAAACATGTGTGGTTCTACAAAGAACCTTTGAGATTGAGAAAGGTTCTATATAGAACTGTTCTCCATAAAGGTTATAAAGTTTATATAGCCCCAAAGAGCTTTGTATCCATAGCGGAACCCTTTTTTGGTGCTACTGTATATAAATATAACCTTTTTTAATGGTTCTTTATAGAACCTTGATAGCACTGTACAGGTTCCATTTAGAACCTTATGAACATGGTTCTTTAGAGAACCTTAAAAAATGGTTCCATATAGCACCAAAAAGGGTTCCATTATGGTTAAAAGCCAAAGAACCCCTATTTGGCACTACTGTATATAGAACCATTTGTTTTTAGTGTGTATGCTTTTCCCTTTCCATGATTTCCAACACAGATATCCACTGAGCTACAGTAACTGATCATTTTGATTTAACATCCTGCTTGTAGCCTATGGATATGTTTGGAACGGAGAGTTTTGTTGATTGATTTGGTATTTTGCACTGCTGTGACATTGGTATATGTTCCCATGGGATGATTAATTCAATTGCAGTGGCTATATTACAGTTGAATGGATGGATGTAACCCTGTTCTTCCCTGCTGTTTTGTGGGTTCTTGTTGTTTCGCTATGAGCTTGTTAGAAGTAGATAGATAGTTGAGATATATTGTATTTGTTTGCTGTAGCGGAGAGGCCTACCAGAACTCATATACTGTATGGTATTTTAATGTACTGATTTGGACTTGTTGGAAACAAAGGCAAAATAGTATTATTAAACCTGGACCAGTGCCCTTACTGTTATAAACACAATCTATCATAGTAATGTGGTATTCACAAAGATAATTCTATTACAATATATCTAGGTCTGTATTCAAGTGGAGTCCTGCATTGAACTTGAAAAGTAAATTGTCATGCTTTTACTTTGTAAATGCTATTCAGCTCAGACCACCTCTTTGACACAGAGGTAATTAAAAATAAAAATGTGCAGATAACAAGTTTGCTCGCATCTGTCCCAGGTTGTATTGTGCTGGATGATATCTTGTCAGGATGCTGGATTGCATTGTCAATAGGTGGAACCCTGCCAAATTACTTTTCGCAGAACTGAAAACGTGTGTGAGGCATTGAATGTGTTCTCTCTACTCTTTCTTGCTTTTATTCTTTCTTTCTTTCGCCCTCACTCTCTCTCTCTCTCTATTTCTCTCTATCTTGCTCTATCTCTCTCTCTATCGGTTTCTCTCTCTCGCTATCTCTTCCTCTCTCATCCCAGTCTCTTTCTTTCTCTCTCTCTCTCACACACACAAACACACATTGCTCAGACATACAAACCTACTTTGCACCCAAGTTGTCCTGCCCTTTCTGGACCGCATACATCTCATGCTATGAAAGTAATCATCATCTGTTGTTGTCATCATAATAGTAATTTAACATATTGTCTCACTTCAAAATGACTGTTACTGGAGGATGAATGCTTTGATAACCATTGTGATTTAGCGGTAGTTTTAACATAATGTAAAGTGAAACTAGTTCACCATGCAAATGAGAGGACCACCACTGCCTTGCTTTGTCCATCCTACATCGACTATGGCAGTAACACAATTACTGCACTTGACAGTAATCCATAATCACATTTATTGTTTTGAAAATAAGGTGTGAGCAGGATATGGCGGTACACCTGCTCAGGAGCGTGCATACTCAAAGGCGGGAGGGGTGTGTGTGTGTTGTGAACCCCTTTTGTTCAAGATTAATTGGCCTAATTGCGTTAGCGCTCCACTGTGGCTTTAGAGGGAGGGGAGCCAGTGTCACCAGCTGGGTAATCCATCTTCATAGCAGCAGCTCTTTTTTTCTGCAAGAGCCCAGCAGAGGGGGGGAAGGGGGGGAAGGGAGGGTGGGTGTTGTCTTATCTCTCCCAGACAACCCTGCAGGGAACCGGTTTAGATGACATCAGCTGGAACAAAGCAGCTGAGAACATAGCGCAGGGTCTTGCTGATGAGTGTATAAGTGGGCCGTGTCAGGCAATGGACCGCTGCCTAAAAATATGCCATTTCAATATGTCACCACTGAATTGGAAGAGAGATAAAAAAAAAACCTGTGTTGGTCCCCCACACCAGACCCACACACTCAACTGTCTCTGTATGAGTGGCCACCGCCCGCCTGCCCGCCGGACGTGCTGACATTCTGTTTTCCCCCCATCTCTTCTCCCTAAATTAAAGGCTTTTTTCTTTCAAAGGAATGTTTGGAGTTATCTTACACCACAGGAGCACTCGTAGGGGAGAGTGGGGTATGTTGAGCCATTTTTTACATTCAGCATAAATACGTCAAGGGAAATATAGATACGTCAAGGGAAATATAGATATCTTTCTATCAAAGATATCTACATATACAGTGAGGGAAAAAAGTATTTGATCCCCTGCTGATTTTGTACGTTTGCCCACTGACAAAGACATGAACAGTCTATAATTTTAATGATAGGTTTATTTGAACAGTGAGAGACAGAATAACAACAAAAAAATCCAGAA